CTACCCAATGTGGCAGCTACCAGTTCCCCAGTGCAACAGGATCTCTCACCCCAAACACAACCCCACAGCGATGGCTTGGCTGTCCCATCCTAATGCTTCCCTCTGTCTGTGTCAGTCTGCAGAGCAATTCCATCAGTAACACCGGGGTCAGTGCACTGACAGCAGCTCTCTGCTCCAACAAGGGACTCATCGACCTCAAGTAAGTGATGGCCCCACTGGCCACCCTGTCTGATAGCAGCTCCTGCAGTGCACAGCTCTCACAGCAACCAGGACATGGGATGCTGGAGCTCCTCGGCATGCAGGGCTGTGCCTGGCTGCTTCCACAAGTGCTCTCAGATGCTGAAAGCAGATTTGGTCCCTCTGATGACTGAGAGCTCTTCTTTGTGCTATTGACTTTCTCCCCATGAGACTGTATCAGTGCAGCCATGTCACAATGAATTGCAATGGGGGAGGCTGGGAAAAAAAAAGCCTGATAATCCTACAGTGTTCACAATGCTGGATGTGCAGGGAAAACTAGCAGCTCCAGGGAGTGGGGCACCTGTGGCAGCTTAAACCAGCTGACAGCCACCCCAAATGCACAGGGGAACACCAGGCAGCACTGCTGTGCTGTGCCAGAACCCTGGCACAGGCTGCCCAGGTGCTGCAGGGTCTCCTCCTCAGAGCTCTCACAAATCTGCCTGCCTGTGGGCCTGCACTCTGCTCTGAGTATCCTACTGGGGCAGAGGGACCTTGATCCATCGTCAGCCATCATCCCCACGTCTTAGGCTCTCCTAATAGATTTGGCATCTAGTAAGAGCTCTAGGATAGAGTTTATATGCACAGCCCCACACCACAAGGCAAGCTCTCAGGCTTGTCTTCTAGGAAGGGATGAGGAAAGCTGTGGTTTCTGTTTCACTGCGGGCAGCAGCGTAGGGAACAGAAATGCAGATGGTGCTGGAGATGCTGTTGCAATGCATGGCTGCAGCCCTGGAGTGGGGCCAAGGGGTGGTGGGGAGCAGACAGTCCCCCCGTGCTCCTCCCCAGCCCTGGTGTTTCCCCAGTTTGCGGGAGAATTCCATCAGCAAGGAGGGCGGCCCCGCCATCGCCCATGCTCTGCGCACCAATTGCACCCTCAGGAAGCTGGAGTAAGTCCTATGGGCCCGGGGGGCACCCAGCCTGATGTGTGGTGCCATCCTGACCTGTGTGTGATGATGTCCTCTGTCCTCTGCCTCCAGCTTAGCAGCCAACCTGCTGCATGATGAAGGCGGCAAGGCCATCGCTTTGGCCATGAAGGAGAACCAGGCACTCACATCCCTCCAGTGAGTTTCCATAGGACCTGGTGTGTCCCTGATTTGCTCTCCTACAGGCTGTGCCATCCTGGATGCACCCACGTGGGTTCATTCTGCGTGAATGGGTGCTGAGCACAGAGGGATTGGGCCATCCCACAGCCCGCAGCCACACACTTCACATCTTGTTCCTCTTCCAGCCTGCAGTGGAACTTCATTCAGACGCAAGCAGCCGTGGCCCTGGCACAAGCACTGCAGTCCAATGGCAGCCTGGCCAGCCTTGAGTAAGCGTGGACACGGTGGGCAGGTTCCAGCACCTCTGGGCAGCATCCTCCTATGGGCACCAGCCAGGAGATGACTTTGCCCTTTGCCTCCTCCACACGCCCCATCCCATCCCCAGTCCTTGTTTGGGGGTGCTGGATGCGTGAGGCCCCCCCAAGCACTCTGGCACACCATACCCCATTCTTGATGCAGTTTGCTGCCCATTTCCCTGCCCCTGTGTGCTCAGGGCAGACACAGTATTTGCTTGTCTCAGCTTGCAGGAGAATGCCATTGGGGATGAGGGAATGGCCGCCCTGGCTGCTGCGCTGAAGGTCAACACCACGCTGGCAGATCTCCAGTGAGCATGCAGGCTGTGGCAGAGCTGCCACTGCAGCTGGTCTGATTAGCATGTCTAATTAGCACACAGCAGCCACCTCGGGACACACACTGAAGGATTCTGTTCTCTTGCAGTCTCCAGGTAGCTTCCATCAGTGCAGCCGGTGCCCAAGCCCTAGCAGAGGCCTTGATGGTCAACAACAGCTTGCAGGTCCTGGAGTAAGTACTCAGCAGGGCAGTGAGCACCCGTAACTGTGACACTGCTCCCTGGGGTGTCTGAGATCCCCATGCTGGGCTCAGCACCACTCGCTTCCCATATCATGTCCCCCTGCTGGCCCACAGCTGCCTTGTAGAAGATGTGGGTCCTCCTGATAGCCTGTCTTGCTTTGCAGCTTGAGGGGAAACTCCATCAGTGTGGCAGGAGCCAAGGCAATGGCCAATGCGTTGAAGGTGAACCGCAGCCTCCGCTGGCTCAAGTAAGTATCCTGCTCCTAGGGATGAGAGGCAGGAGCCTTCCAGCCCTCCTGACCCCACTGCCCACCGCAGCCTGCAGGAGAACTCCCTGGGCATGGATGGGGCCATCTGCATCGCCACTGCGCTGAGGGGCAACCACGGGCTCACCTACATCAAGTAAGTGGTGGTGAGCACTCAGCTGGATGGTGAGGCTGGTGCAGGGCTGGGGAGCTTCTCTTCACACCCCCCGGGGATCCTGAACCGCTCTTCCTCCCTGCTCCCAGTCTGCAGGGGAACCGTATCGGCCAGTCGGGAGCCAAGATGATCTCTGACGCCATCCGGACCAACTCACCTGACTGCGTGGTGGTGGTGTGAGGGCATGCAGCTGTAAGAGGAGATGGCCTGGGGGGCCAGAGGACATCCCTTTGGCTCACTGCCCACCTATTGAGGGGAAGCTGGGGCAGGGAGAGCCCAGCAGCTCTCAGCATTGCCCCTCAGGGGCTCACAGCTGCTACTGGGTCCCAGGGCTCTGAATCAGAGCACAGGAGGGTTAGAAGCTTGGGAATGCACAGTTTGCCTGTTCACTCAGGCACTGGGGGAGCTTCAAGGCTGCATAAATGGATGAAAAAGAAACGGGAGGGAGGAGGGAACAGATCCTACAGGGCAGGTCCTTCTCACGCACACGGGAGACTCAACTTCATCATAGGCCAGCAGCCCTCCCCTCCTGCAGTGCTGTGCCCACAGCCTGTCCTGCACCAGGCACATCCTGACTGCACAGGAGAGCTCTGCTCCCAACCCATCTGAAGATGCTGTAGGCAGATGCTGCAGCACCCCAGCCTGGCCCCAGCACACTGCTCCCAGTGCCAGCCCTTCTCTGTCTAGGTCTGCTAGGGATGCCAGGAACACTGCATGAAACAGCAGCCCCTTCTCAGGCAGCCACACATAGCCCAGTCCTGTAGGATGCTGCAGAAATCCTAATGAGATGAGAAGGCTGATGTTCCTTCATCCCTGCAGAACAGGGGCTGCTCCCTGTGCAGCTGTGTGGTTTGCCATGCCCACAACAACACGTTGGCTTTGGCTGAGCAAACACAGTTCCCAAGTGTTTGGTACTGCTGCCCTACATCACATCCTCTTGGAGGAGACAGGGATCCGAAGGCATAGGAATGCAGTCACTAAGAAAGGCCTTGGGAGGAAGGAAGGAGGAACATAAGGAACAGCATTGCATGAAGATGGGCCATCTCCAGCACACACACCCTGCTGCAGGAGTGCCTCAGGACAAAGTTCTGTCCCTCAAGCTGAAAACCACTGGGCTCCTTGCTGTTGCCGTTGGGTCACCTTCTAAGCAAGTGGCTGCTGAAAGCAGAGGTGCCAGGTGATGCCTCTGTGTGTGTGGCAGATGCGATGGCTCTCAAGAAGGTGCTGGGTTCGCAGCTGGAGCAGCAGCCACTCTGTGCAACCCCTCCCAGCCCCCACAGCCAGCAGCCCCTCTCCCTTCACCTCCCAGAGCTGCACTTGGATACGCTCCTGGGGAGTCAGGGCAGTGAGCAGCTGCTCTGAGCACCTCTGTGGGCTGATCCTGGGGGGATGTTGGGGTGTGCTGCACCATATGTACATGCTTGGAAATAAATGAGATCCTAGCTGAAAAGACACCTTGCACTGCCTTCATCTCTTGGTTATGAGTGATCACATAGGACGTTGGGGTGCACTACCAGGCTTGTGCCCCTCTGCATGGACTGGGGACCTCACACCTGTTCCAGTGTGACTTTTACATCTCAAGGGATGGCTCACTTTTTCCAACAGGAAATAATGACACTGAAATCTTCCCTTTGTCACCAATACTTAAGAGCAGACAGGCTTGACCAGCTCTGCCTACAGCCTGTGCCTAAACCCAAGCTGAAATGTTCCCCAAAATGCCAATGGGAAACAGCAATCAACAATTTCAAGCTGCTCCTGTACTCTGGGGCTCCAGGACATCAATTAACATCAATTTGAAACACATTCATCAGTCTGAACACATGTACACACACCTAGCTGTATAAGAACACTCCTGAGCTAAACGGGGCAATTGTTCAGGGGGTTCCTTTCCAGCAGTGCTGGGGCAGGCTGCTCTTGCCCTGCTGCTCATACCTGGTAGAAGAAGCTGCCATCGGGCTGTGCTGAAGGCTAGGTGGCAGTGCTGCCTGAAGAGAACCCGGCTCTGTGCACATGATGCAGTACTTCAGCTTTTCATTTCAGCCTATGGTACAGGAAAATAGCATAGAAAACACGCTCTGAAACTGCACTCTGAACTCCAGCACTGTGCCCAGCCTCGTGGGCAATGTGCCTCACGGGTCAGAAGTATCTTCAGCATCCAGGGAGGATCAGAACAGATTCCCTAAGTAACACAGAAGAGTATTTTCAGATCAGGTGCTAAAACCAGGACGTTTCAGCCCCTGGGAGAAGGGAATGCAGTCAGCACACGCACCTTGCTGGCTGTCAGAGGATCACCCTAATGGCTCTGCAGTCCGGCACTGACACCCTTCTGCTTTCTTTGAGGTGAAGTAACAAATGCCAATTAACTTTACAATTAAAGGTGCAAAGAGGGGTCCTAACTGCCAGCTCAGCTCAAGCCCATACAGCTGTGTGCATTCCAGCACACCACAGCACTCACACATGTACTGTTACTACACAGAAGTTGTGGACTATTTACCTGTAAAGGTTTGGCACATCCTGACAGGGCATTTCCAGTTCTGAGCTCAGCTGATGAGGAACTACTTTAGGTGTTAGAGATGTGAGAGATGGAAGAGTTCCTGGTTTTTCAGGTAACTGCTGTGCATTCCTTCCTTCAGTTCAATAAAAGAGGGGCTGGACTACACTCTTCAGATGGAGGGAAAGCAAAGTACTTTGCTGGCATGAAAAAAAAGGAAGGACGGGAGAACAGCCTGAGCTCTTGTCTGCTCTGATGAACACACACTGGAACAAACTCATCTAATCAAGCACTGATTTCTGCTCCTGCAAAGACAAATCATGATGCTAAAGCAGAGCTAAAAGACAAGAGGCGATACAGCAGACAAACTCCAGCTTTTGCTTTCACCTGAATGCTTTCACTGATGGCATAATTATAACCCACTGACCTCCTCAGTAAGCTCAGCACTTCTGCCAGCAGCACAGCACCAACTGGGTGTCTGTGTGCCTGTGCTGACATCCCAGTGCCACCACTGCCCCATGCTAACATCAGCTCCTACCACACTGTTTGTCATCTTCTGCCTCCTGCCCACATCTCTTGTTCCTCAACAGGAAATTGAGCATCTCTCATAAACATTCCCCCAATAACCCCTTATTTTTTTTCCCAAAGTGTGCAGGAATTTAATATATTGAATCTTAATCACTATTCACTGAAACAGGACAGGCATCCTAAAGGCTCTTTAGTGAGGGGTAGACAAAGGGGCAATCTCATTCCTATTGAAAAATCAGGCTAAAAATGGTGAATAATTACTTACAGAAAATACAGCTATTCTCAATACATGGAGGAATGTTTTCTCCAACAGAAAAAATGAGAACAGCATTACATATCGGTCAATTTCTATGCATTTTTGGATTCGGGTCCCCACAGAACATGGAGAAAGGTTGAAGAACAAAAGCAAGCAATAGCAGCCCAACTTTGGGGCCATTTGAGTGCCTAAAGCTCAGTCTGCTGCAAAAGGGTAATTAAAGGGCTAATTTCCTATGGATTTAATCACAGCACAGTCTCACACGGTTGCTCTGAGGACACTCAAGCATGGCTTAAGCCTGAGAACAGCTCCTAAGGACACAGCTGAAACACTAAGAGATGCTGCACTGAGGTTCTTTGAGGATCCTTATGCTGGTTTTCCAGTTAAAGCCTTCTGTCTTAGGCCACCTGCCCTTTGCAGACACAAGCCCTCAATGAAGGAAAGGGTATGTTTAGGATAAATAGATTTAAGCCAGTTTTAAAATCAATTTAAATGTGTTCCCAGAGCAGCTTTTATCCAGCTTTATTAAGGCAAAAAAAAATCTGTTTGGTTATAATAAAGTGCAGGGAAATCAAGCACACGATGCTCACTGGAGTGAGACTTCTGGCACTGCAGTGCACGAGGGCCAGTTCTAATGCAATTATGGAAATAACAGCACTCCACATTACTGTGATTGTCATTATGGATAAACTGCTCATACTTCGCAGTCACAAGACTGGCAATCCAAGTTTAATTTTCAAGTTTAATGAACATTATTTACCAACTCCTGAACTCATGCTGACGAGCACTTTTCAGATGGCAGGGTGCTATTAGTTCCTGGCCCACATGCTCTCCAACGTCTGCATTTCAAGGTGCCTCCTGGTCCTGCTGCTGAAGGGTCAGAAGTCATTATCACTTTCCTCCAGAGGCTCTGGCTTCTTTGCTCGGTGGCTGGATTTGCTCGGGGAGATTTCCATGCTGTCATCTTCCACGTCCTCCTCCTCATCTTCGTCATCATCCAGGTCAATCTCACTATCCCCCGACTCCTCCTGCAGGAAAGCATACAGCATTCACCACCACTTCAGCTCTCAGATGTGAGGCATTCTGGGCAGCTTAGAAGCAAAGGATGCTGCTCCTGGCCAGCACTCAGCTGCTCCCTCCCATGCACTCAGTGCAATCACACACCTGAGGGCTATGGGAAGGACATGTGTCTGCACAGGTGCAGTTCCAGCTTTGGTTCCAGGGAGCAGCAGCAGACCCTTCCAAACCAATGGAAGCCCAGAGCTCAGCACCTCTGGAAGCAGAATGCCCCCATGGCTCCCACCAGCAGCTCCGACCACTTCACTCAACACTGGCTGCTCCACTCAATTCACAGCAAACATCCTTTCCTGCTTCACGGGGCTGCCAAAAATGAACTTCCTGACTTCTGCTGAATCTGTGATATCAAAAGCCTTGCAGAACTTCAAAGCAATACCTACTGTGAGACCAAAGAGTCAATGCCTAGCAGAAGAAAAACCGCAGGAGAGGAACCCACCTGAGCCTTGGTGATGATCCCATGCTTGCCTGGCTGGGCTGGGGCAGCTCTCCCCTTGGACAACCAGAGTGGGAAGAACAGGAGAGGCAGAGCAGAAAAAAAAAATGAAAAAACACAAGAACATAAAAGAGGAAAAAAAAAAAAAAGGAAATAACCAGAATGGGAGCAGGAGGGAAGGAGGCAAAAGATTACAATGAAAATGGGGGAAATTGAGGCTGAACTGCTGAGCATAGGCAGGTGCCCAGAGAGCTGCTCAGCATATGGTAATCCTGTCTGAAACATACTCAATATGTGGGGCTGTGCTGATGGATTCATGGGAAGGGACTATGAACAGTGTGTAGTAAAAAAGGGAAATGAAAAGGGTGGAGAAGTTACAAAGCTGGCAAGGACATGGTCAAGGACAGTCAGGCAGTGCTGTGACTGAGGGTGCACTGTCTTCACCTGCAGCACTGACCCTACCCAGAAACGGATCCAAATGCCAAAGACATAAAGAACTCCCTAGAAGGCAGCACCTAGCCTTAGCTTGATCCATTCTGGCAGAAGCAAACAACAGAGCATGGTCTGTAAGCTCATTTCCTGAGAAAAGGTGAGGATGGACAGAATGAGAGGCAGAGCTGAGAGGATCAACATGGTCCAGCAGTGCAGGAATGGCTGAACTCTGAGCTTGCCCTCCTCGTTGGCAGGCAGTGCTGGCTGGGATGTCTGCTGGATGTCAGACAGAAAGGCTCTGTACGAGTTGTACTGGCTCAAACATGAGCTCACAATCATCGTGTTTTTTAAGTGTTTGTACCACTTCCTAACACAGGTTGGGCTGTGCCAGCTGGCATTTTCCCAAACATCACCTGAGATCAGGACATCCCCACAGATCCTGGCTGTCAGCTTAGATACAGGCACCTTTTTGGGATGGAGGGCTTGTTGCATGGCTGCAAGCCATATCAGAACAGCTGGCTTCGAGGCCAAAAGCTCTGTTTTATCTTCTAGTACAGGTGTAGCCACTTAAGAGGGCCCAGAGGCATAAAAAGGTCACTCATACACCAGAGGCTGAGCACAGCAGTAAGAACAGTGCCTGCTCTACAAACCTGGGTCTTCCTGACTAGTTGCCATCTGCTCACCAGGTCAGCTTTACCCAGATGCAAAGCTTTGACACAGCTGTATCTGTGAGGCAGGGAGTCCAGGGGCTCCAGCTCACACTTCAGCCCTCATCCCTGTCCCATCGGCTGCAGCACTGGTGCTTGAGATGCTGTATGTTAGCACAGCTCAGTGAGAGGGCTCCAAGAGGTACGATTTCAGAGCAAATCTGGGGATTCACACCAACACATACAACTTCTGCTACACTGCACCGATCCCCTCCCTATTAATCTGCTCAGCAAAGCACCATCCTTGTAGCCTGTGTGCCACAACTTACACACTGCAGGCTGAGGTTGAAGCGCAGGGCAATGTGCAGAGACCCGAAGAGCAAAAGAACAATGGAAAAGGGTGTGTGCTGAAAAGGAGAGAGCGGCCAGCTGGAGAGAAGGAGGGGAAAAGCGATCTGTGGCACAGAGAGTGAACAGGTAAGAATCTGTTTCTCCAGCTGAGGAGAGGGCAGGTGTTCTAAAGCATTGTCAGAGGAGCTCTGCAAACACATGGGATTGGTTACTTACATCTTCCTCTGTGTCTCCACCCTGCATTGTTCCCACGATCCGGGCACCAGCTCTTCCTGCAGAGCAAAGAGAATCACTATGAAGACCAGAAAATGAAAGATGAAGGTTGGGGTTTCCTTTCAGAGCCCAACCAAATGGCAGCGAGAGGATGAAGTCCCAATGCACGTGAGGCCACTGTGCCTGCTAACCCAGGAGAAGGTGGAGAGGCTGACAGTATTGTATTGCTAGAGCTACCTTGTGCAGCTGTGACAGTCCTGTAAGCCAAAGCACATAGCAGGTTGAAGAGATTCCTATCTTAAGATTCAATACACACGAGGAACTACTAGCAATTTTGGACCACTTAAGGTTTATACCTTTGGGCAACGAGCCTCCCCAGTTACATAGCTCCATCTATTTGGCTTGCTGGAAATTTGGCAAAGAGATTATATGATTATCATACACAGATAATCCTCATCAGAAGAGCATCCTAGGATGTGCAAGATTTCAAATTGCTAGCAGAAGGATGTAAGAGCTGGAGGTTAGAAAGTGAAATCAAATGAAACCCAATCAGAAATACAGCAGCGATTTCTCACTTCAATCAATCAGAACAAAAGAGGGACACTATCTTGTCTTCAAACCCAAACAACCTGACTGGATGTGCTCCTGGGCAGGCTGCTTCAGCTCATGCTGTTTGAGTAGAGGGGGGTCAGACTAAAGGCTCTCAAGAGGTCCCTGCCAACCCAAATGATTCTGTGAAATGGCATTATCCTCTGCTTTAGTGTACAGAGAACAAAAGCCTGACTTTTGCCCCTGGTAGCCCTCCTATGCTCAGATCTTTTCTGATATTCCATCAGGGACTGACATCTCAAAGGAATCCTAGGCAATGCCAAGGCAAATCTCATGAGTTTCTTGCTGAGAATACGACGTGCAAGTCTGAAGAGGCAGTTGGTTGTAGGGAGTTCTCTGAAAAGGGCTAATGTGCTCAAGCCTTCCTTAAGTACTTTGGGATATGTAAAGGCCGTCTGAAAAGGTGAAGATGCCAGCATGGTTCTCCTTGCCAGGAAGGGAAGCTGGAAGGGGTACAGCAGAGCTGTGATGGGGGAATTCCACATGGGGCTGGCGCAGCCATAGCAGTCACTCAGCACTAACTGGATGCCCATGTAACACCACTGCTGTCACCACTGCATTTCCTCATCCATTTATCACCCCCATCACCAGTTTTCTCTGTGTCAGACAGATATAGATTTTTCACATCTATACAATATATACTTTTTTTTTTTTTAGCATGGGAACAAAACAACTTAAAATATATCCTGTCCAACCTCCTTTGTAGCTGTAGGAGACAGAACACTTTGCCCCCTTCGTAGGTTGATTTGGGTTAGCAGTAGAAAACTGCTGCCTACCTCACCCAAAAACATCCCTGCCCTGCTGTGTCAAGACAGGTAACCTATAGGATCTCATGCCTTTAAATAAGAAGTGGAGCCTTCTGTCTATCCAGCTGCTGACAACACAGCCAGTAACAGTGGAGATAGAATATATGACGATTCCTGGACAGAGGAGCTCTCTTCAAGCTTTAGAGACATTTGCTCTGATAAATGCTAACCTGTAAGTTCAGAGATAGTTATAGCAGACATCATTAGAGGACAACAGAATAGTGTTTTCACTCAACATTCAGGCTGGTCCAAGAGTTTAACTGCTATGCAGAAGGCTCACAGCATGAAGTGCTGGACAGGGAATGCTTACCTCAAGGAGAAAGTAGCAGGGAGCTTGTGCAATATGCTGATAAAACAAAGCAGAGAGAGGTCCTGAATATAAAGAGAACCAGGGCATCATGTGAGGAGAGCCACACGCTGCTGCCCGAACAGGAGAGAGGGCAGATTTCCCATGTCACAGGAAGAGCTGTGACAAAGGTGGGAGCCTTGTTTGAGCTTTCAGACACCAAACCCCACATCTGTGTGTGTGGGGTTATTTTGTGATATCCCCATGTGCTAGAGGAGAGACAGGAACAGCAGCATGTCTGCTTGCACCAGGCAGAGCTGGCAGCCACAGGGCTGCTTGGCACTTGAAATGTGCAGGGCTCTGTTTAGCTGGGCTCAGCTTGCTGTGGCATTAGTGCTCCACCACTTTGGCCAGAAGCTCACGCAGCTTCCAGGCAGGTGAAAGCCTCTTATGTTGGCTTACAGACAATGTGAATTCAGCTGGGACAGGCTGTACAAAGTGATAATTAGGTAAAATGCTCATAATGAACAGACTGTAATTCACTGCACCTTTGGATTCAAATCCAATCACAGTACAACAGCCACTGAGCTATCAAGAATCAGGAGTGAACGTGCATCCATGATTTTAAGCTTTCTGCCACTCTTCCTCTGCTTGTGATGCTTACCATTGCACTACCTGGGCAGCTGCCTACAATGGATCCACAGGACTGGAATGATTTACGTCTTCTTACTCAGTGGTGGGTACACATTAACCCTGTTCCTGACAAGGAACTTAACCTGAGAGGTTAGGAAACCCACCACGAGGGGAAGGCAGATTTACAGCTGAAACCTTTTGCCTCCACTTTGGAGATCTGTTTCCCACTCTTAATGCAGATTTTTACTGTGAGCTCCCTTCCCTCTAGCTCCCAGCTTCACAAAGAAAATCAGGACAAGTTTTTTACTTGACCTTTCTGATCCATGCACCCTCTGGGAACTGCCCTCCTATACGTGAATGTAGCCCTCAGCAGCAGGCCCTGACCTCAGCAGCATTTTCCAGGCGTTGCTAAAGTACAGTGATGAATGAAGCACACTACAGCTGCTGCCCAGGATGAGCATACTTCTATTTCTTACACCCTCCACGAAAAGGAAATCAGCTTGGAAGGGAATCACCTGCCTCAAACTCATTATTTCAGCCCTACAGCCCTTCCTCCTTCTCCTCTAGGTCCAGTGTTGCAGTGGCCATAATAGTGCTGAAAGCATACAGACACACTTCCTCCATCCCAGAGAGCACTTAGCTTTGATGACACAAAGCACAGAAAGACATCTCTGTTAGGAGATGATGATGATATGATGGGAGTGACTTCTACTTCAAGTTAAGACAAATTCATTTCCGTGAATTCCAAACTGAAGCCCCATTTCAGTGGTGCCCAAAACACTTGGCTGTTCCCCTTTCTTCATCTGCACGAGCCTGTCCAGCAGCTGCCACATCAGCAAACATATTTTGTAGACCCTTACCTGGATGATAGGAACTACAGAGATCTGCACAGAAACGCATTAAGATCAGAAAAGCTGCTGCGTTGGTGTTCTTCCTTCCCAGATGAGTTTCCTCAGAGCACTGCAGTCATATCCCCTGGCTCCTGAAACACTGTGCTGACAGTTCTCCCTCCTCTTTGACCTGATGAAGCCCCAGTAAGAGTCAAATCACACTTTGTGACGTTCCCAAGGATGGAATTTGTTGAGATCTTCATCACTGCTCCTGAACACACTGATGGGGGGAGTTGTGGGAACAGTGAAAGAGGAAACCGCATCCTGCACCAAGCTGCATGCCAGCAAGAGGCTGCTCTCCCTGCATGGAAGGAGCTGAGAGATCAGGGCTGGAGTCACACACAGTGCCTGGACAATTGCAGTGGGCTACAGCACATTTTTCTCAACAGAACTCCTTTCCACTAAAGCCAAGAACACAACACATTGAGAAAACCTGCAGAACTGTGAACCATCTCTTGCTTGTAAAGATAAATGCACTTGTAATTGATCTTGGACTTAAAATTGTAATTTCCTTTAGGAACTGAGAGAAGGAAAGGAATACAACTAAGATTTAATGTATGCTTTTTAAAAAAGTGACGTCCACAGGAACTGAATGTGGAAAGGCACCAAGGAAGGAGCAGGCAGCTCTTGCACATTTGTAACTGAAACCCTCAGTTCTCCTTCACACCAACAGCATGCCCCTAGCTTCTGTGCACTGGAGGAGGTTGGAGGGTAGGAAAGAGCTCTAGAAATTCAGCAGCAGTAGCCTGAACATAGTTATGAACTGGGGAAAGAACTGCCACAAGAGAAGTCTGACCACTGAGAACAGAGCAGGACTTCACGTGCTGAGGAGGGATTTGGAGCAGGACTGTGCAGACTCTCCAGGGAGGATTTCTTGCTGCTTTGTCAAAGTTCACATTCCCTCTGAAAATGTGAGGACTAATTCACCCCCTGTGGCCTTTGCCCAGCACACAGTCTATCTTTGGCTCTGCAGCCAGCTCCTACTTAATCATCACCAAGAGAAGCTTAAGAAGTAGGACAGGGAAGCTAAATACTATCATCATCTCAAAACACTGACTGTCTGCCACAGAAGCAGCCTGCTTCAGACATGCTGCTCTGCACACACTGCCTCTCTGAGATCCATCTCTCCAGGCCTGGAAAGCCCCACAGGCACAGAGCAGCTGGCAATGGCAAGCCAGCCCATGTCCATGGGGCCACTCTTCCTGCCCATCCCCAGATGCATCTCTGTTTCGATTGCTGTATATTTGCTTCCACTCCCTCCAGTGAGTTGCATCTGGCTTTCTTAAAAAAAAAAATTCTCTCTTCTCATCTTCTGTCTCCTGACACATTTGTTCTCACTGCATTAAACAGTGCAGGTTTTCACAGGCTTTTATCCATTCACTCGCAAGCAGTGTCGCTAATAATCTGCCTGCAGCTCTTCATTATCACACTGATCCTCTAGTCACTTCTGTGAAGGTAAGAGGCTCTCCCTGTTTGTGAGCAGATTATTTGCAGAGCAACATTCAACATTTGATAAAGCTGTTTTCTTCCAAGAAAGACCAAAGAGAGCTGAAGCTCTCAGAAACAGAACAGTCCCTGTAGCCCTAACATGACAACACTGCTCCTCAGTACTGACACCACAATAGGAAACAGGAGCTACAACACTGGATGACTGATTTGTGGGAGCTGACAGACCCTGGCAGCATGGAGGATACTATAGATAGGCACAGCACTAATCCTTTCTCTTGCCATTTCCAGTACCTACCTTGTTCCAAGCTCAGTGTGTGTGCCAGTGTTGTCTCTGGCTCGTGGTTCCACACTGTGCTTCAGACCTCCAGATGAATGAGACTGAAAAGATGGATCTGCATATGTAATTGCAACATCACTGTAAAATCCACTTTAATTCAAGGGGAGATTGGATAGGTTCTTAGAAAAGACCTGGCATGATTGTTTCTACACCCCCAGGACAAGGCTTTGCATTTGTCTCCCAGACACCTGTACCATCTGCATGTGAACCACCATGCTGCTCCAAAGCACTGGCCTATGGCTTGCTTCAGGGAATAGGCTTGTCTGCATTGCAGATGGTTAGGATCCTGCAACACTGCAAGATCTCCTTTTTCCCTGGCTCCCTGACAAAACAGCCTTATTCCAAACACCAACACTAACTCACAGTTTGACCTCAGAAGCTCAAGCATCTGCAATTTTGTTTGTGTTACAGCCTCACTTATCTCCAGCCAGAGAGAATAAATGTGGATGTGAATTTTTAGTTACATTTACAATACTCCAATTAAAAGATGCAGATGATAAATCAACATACTCTTTTACTTATTAAAGCAAATGATTAGCAACACATGGATTTATTCAGGAAGTCACATCAAGGAGACTTGCCTGTAATTGCGTATCAGGATGGATATTAGGAAGCATTTCTCAGAAAGAGTGGTTGGGCATTGGCACTGCTGCCCAGGGGGGTGGGAAAGTCACCTGGAGGTGCTGAAGAACTGTGGGGATGTGGCACTGAGGACATGGTCAGTGGGCACAGTGGGGTGTGTCGATGGCTGGATGTGATGATCTTTGTGGTCTTTTCCAACCTTAATGATTCTGATTGTACAAAAACAGGCTCTCCAGCACCTACCACTTTGGTGACTCTCTTCCCAGCCCCTTGCTGTCACCCACATGCTTGTTATCTCCTTGTACAGAAGCCTTCCTGGCTTCCTAAAGCTGGATTTGCTGTACTGGTGAATCAGTGTAAAAATTTAAATTCAGTGGAGACAAAGGCTCCATAGCCCATTTCAACTCCCTGCCTAACCAGTCTATTCCTCTTTGTACATGGGAAATAAAGGTTTGATTTTCTCTGTGTACCACAAGAGCTGGCAGCCTGTCATATCTCCTCCAGCTCATGCTCTTTTCTGCTCCATGGGAGATTAAATCCTATACCTTCAAGTCTTTTAATTGGCAAAAGAATAAAACCAGGAGCAATACTGTCAAAGCTGCATTTAGTTGGAATTTGACTGCATTTAGACAGTCCTGCTGAAAGGACTTGAGAGAGAAACGTTGATTTTTTCCTCAATTATACCAAGTGGCCTAATAAGAGTGATTATCTCTCCCTGTGAATCCTGCTCCTCTAATGGTGAAACACATTGGAATATCTGCCCTTTATTACAGAGGGAGGAAATCTCCTCTTAGAGTACTAATAACCTGTTAATTAGAGATGTAAAACTGAATCACATCACAGGAACTGACCACAGCAGTCTGTTTCTTCCCAGCAAGAGAACAAACAAAGTGATGCTTCTGGGCCATGTAACAAGACAATCCTTCAAAAGAAAGTGATTGGAATGTCTGGAGTTTAAGCAAAGAGAAGAAGTGGTAATTAATAAAAATAGTGTTTTTATTGTGCTGCCTTAAATGCATTTTAAATGCAAACTACCTGTGCTGAAGGACACGTACAGACTGTGCGTTTAACGACAAACGGCCAGCAGATGTTCAGGCTCAATTTGCCAAAGAAGCTGAAGCACTTTGACATTAATCTCAGGTTCTGACACTGTCTCCAGCACTTCAGTTTGTGAGGGTCACAGTCAAACACAGCACCTCACTGCTGAGGAAGGACCAGAAGGGCCCATTTACACAGAAAGCAGCAGATGGGAGCCTGTACCCAAGGCTGGAGCTGCTTGTCTGGATCAGGCTGGTGCTCTGGAAGGAAAGCTTTGGCTCATCAATGCAGAAGAGCAAGCTGATAATGCTTCCCCTAAGTCTATGTTTGCATCCACCTTCGTCAGTACAGCCTGTGCCGGAGCACAGAAGGACTGAAACGCAGTGAGTTAGAATGAGAGAATGCAGCCTTTGTCCTCCTGGGTGAACTGTGCAAAAGGCATCTCAGAAGCCCTCAGAACACATCTGGAGTTGGTTCAGTAAATCTATTCATAGAGGTGAGAGGCAAAAAGGACCGAGCCAAGGGAGACTTCCAAATTACACAAAGACACAGTGAGCAAAGATCAGCGTGGCCACCAAGTAGTTAGCAAGCTGCAAATTGAGAACATGCAAAAGCCAGAGGATAATCACGTGGCAGAAGCAGTTTATAGAAGATCAGGAAGAGACCCACAGAAGCTGCAGCCAGTATCTGGTTGCTCTGTTGGGACGCCCGCTCAGATGAGGCATCACAGACAGCTACAGCCAGCCCTAAAAACAGTGTACAGACTTTTCTTTGAGAAACTGTAAAACCTGTTCACCTACACAAGGCTTCTGGCACTTCTCAAGAATTTTCAATTGTTATGAAAAGCAGAAATGTGGATAAAAGTGCTTGAATTGTATTGATTTGAGAACTTCAGCTTCCTGCTCTGGTCTCAATAAGAAAGAGGAGAGCAGAAAGCACATCTGCAGTCTATCCAAGTACCAAGTTCTAGCAGAAGTAGTGGCACATGAAATTACCCACACTGGCACTTCATCCAGAGCCCAGAGAGGCTTTTGCTGATGCTCAGAATCATTCACAGCCAACAAAAACACCACTGAGAAATAACTTGATTTTCTAGTTTCACTTTCTCCCATATAAGTGTCAGACAGACCCTCAGTCTGTTATTTTTCTGCGTTGCTCCTGATCTGGGCTTTGTGGCAATCAGCAGCCAGAGGCTGAAGTTCCACTCCACATAACAGCAACAGAAATCAGATGTCCTTCCCTGGCTGAAGTAACTCAGGTGCGCTGTGCCCACAGCTGTCAGTGCAGGAAGCTTTACAGACTCACTAAAGGTCTCATTTTGAAGATGACCCTACCATAGATAATGTTTACACCTAGGAGGGAAATGAATGCTTTGCCATGAGAAATCATAATACCTTGCTAAGGCTTTACACAAAGCTACTTCTGAACCTGGAAGGCAAAACCAAGGAGGGATTATTCTCCCTTTTTTTTTTTTTTTTTTTTTTATTTCCTTCAGTAAAGCCTCCTTAATTTGCTCCCTGAAAATACTATATTTTCTCCACACAACACTGACCACTTATAGCACACAAAAACAGAGCAGTGCCAATGCCCTTGAATGATAACTGTCTTTTATATAACTGTCTTTTATATTTAAGGTTACTCAGATACTTTGAGCAAGTCCTTTTGCATAAAGGCAGGGAAGGAGAGGAGGAAGTACCTGGCACTAGCATCTCCAAGGCCACGTGCTGCTTCCCGAGCTGCCTGTCCTCCATTTCACTGTCAGAGCCTTCATCCTCCTGAATCTCCACGTCAGAATCATCATTATCTGGTTAAAACAAAAGCAGGATACACATCATTCAAACCAATCCACAACAGCCCAGAATTGCAGTTGCATACACGAGATGCTAGCATTCTCACTGTTCAGCCCACGATTAATTCATAACACAGCTCTGCTGACACATGCAGCTTCCACATCCTCACTAAGGAAGATATCTTCATACAGAAGTGCCAAAGAAGTTGAGATGAACAGAGTGTACGATATTAACAACTGTCTTGAGACCATCCTCAGATCGTGCCAGAAGCAATGTTCTAAAAACACTTTCAGAGCATGAACCACACATATAGTTAGGAGGAGATATTTCAGAAACTGAGTTCAAAATGAAAGTCTTCTAAAAGCTTTTGGAAAGCGTGAACTTACTAATACAACAGGAGTGTTGTTTCAGCCTGCCATACCAGAAAGGTCTCCTTAGACTCTTTGCCTTTCACTTAACCATAGGTTAGAAACACACAGGAGCGATGCTCCAGCAAGAATTGCTCTGCAGTGCCTCTGGGGATCGGTGGTGCTGTGACAAAGCCAGCAGGACTGGGTGTGAAGTCAGCACTCCAAGAGTTGCTCATTGCTTACAAAAAGCAAATCTTTCCTAAGTACACCTAATTACACACGTCTGAGCTGAAAATGGAAATAACTAATTATGATCAGCAATGGGCTGGCACATCCTTGCAACACTTAATTATCAGGCAATACACAAATAGCATACATTTTTCCATGGTTTTTTTTCATTGCAATATTAAGTTAATGACAAAATATAGCAGCAGGGGATATATTTGATACCCTGGTAAGATTTTCAAGGCTCCAACAGCATTAGCTACAATTTCTGTTTGTGTTGCACTTTCTTCTTTGGCAGGTGACCGAATCACTGTGTGACCTCAATGCTGCTTCTGTTTGCTGGTATTCAGGAAAGCCAGGTTTTGTTCAAGGCAACCCCTTGGGAAGACTGATGCGTGGCCTAAATAAAGGATTAAGGGCCACATCCTGTGCAGACCATCAGCACTATGACTGACATGCCCTCCCTTCTTTTGGATTCTTTTAACCCCTTTCTCCAGATTTTATCACATGTGCTCCTCCTGTTTCTCAGCCCTACCGCCCAGAGCTGAGGATGCTGCCTGGGGCCCTATGACTGCTGTGCCCATTGCAGAGCACACCATACACACCCCATTAGCTCTTCCTCCTTCTCACCTGGCTCTCCCAAGCTGCCAGCTAAGCATGGGCTAATGGAGCTGCTGCTGCCTGGCAGCAACCAAAGTGACAATGCATTGAGCATCCTCTGGGGACAGGACCTGGAGCCTTCACTCTGCAGAGGCACAGCAATGCCATCCTGCAGTGGGTGAGGCACAGCTCTACCAACCCAGGGCTTTGATTTTTCATCGTGCTTTTCAGGAAACTGATTTTTTTTTAACCATTTATAGCAACAGGCTCTCAGAGAAAACAGGCAAAACACACTTCCCTTCAGACAAGGGTAAGATGACAAAGACAGGAATGGATCTGCCATCATCCCTTTGCTGCATGCAGAAGAGTTCTCTCCCACTCCCCTGGGTCATTTCTCTCCACTCAGCTTGCAAAAAGGAAGCTCTGCTCCTTATGTAATTCCTCACAGTGCCTTTCCTTTGGAAAGTGGGCCCAGCAGTGAGATCCCACAGTGAGCAGTGCTTTGAGATAGTAGTGGTACCTACTGCAAAGAGAGAATCGATGGCCAGAGGGCCTCAAGCTGCTGCTTTATGAGAGGGAATGGCTTCAGCACAGCTTTCTTTCTACATCCAATCTTTTCCTCTTTCACTCAGTTTCTCTGTCCTCCCAAAGCTCCTTTCTTACCCTACTGCTTTTATCCTTTTCCCCCACTGCCTCGGATGCTTCAACTCCCCTCAGCCAGCGATCCAGCTGCAGCTCTCTGCATTCAGCCCATGTTTAGGAAGCACACCTGTGCCCCAGCTCCAGACTCAGCCCTCCCAGTGTGCTTACCAGGTCACATCAACACCTGCTTTCACTTACATGCTTTGCAAATCCTTCATTACTTCACAGTAAAAATGAAGAGAAGGGTCATCAGGTGAATTATCAGCACGTAGATGCAGCAAACCATTTTTGCAGCTGTGCTGGGACTTGGAAACAAATCTTGTTATGGAGCTACAGCAAGAGTTGGGGCTCTCTGAGCAGCCTCAAACTGTGCAGCACAGAGCATAACAGGGAGCTTCACCATGCTGAAACCAGAACTGCAAAGGCAAATCCAGCAACAGCCTGTGGCCCTGAGCCTCCTCTCCCACACCTGGACAGACTGTGAGAATCTCTCACAATAAAATCAATGCATTGCTCTAATCTGATGCTTTGTGACAGCTGGCTCTGGGTCCCACCACCCAGCCCAGCTCTGCCCAGGGTGCAGCAGGGCACAACAGCACCAGGGACACAGAAGCAGAGAACACAACTAAAAATGTATTTAAATACACATTGAATGATGAAAACAAGTTGAGTCCAGGCCTCCTAGTGGGCTGAAACAGCAGGTTGGTCCAATGCTCTGGGTGACCCTACATACAGCAGTATAGGATTCCTTCACTCCATAGTCCTCATTATATTTGCCCAGCATGTTCTGTTCACACCAAAATATTCTTGAGTCAAAAAAAAAAAAAAAAAAAAAAGGAAAGAAAAAAGTGACCATTTAGAACATTTCACTTTGTAATGTACAGGAAAAAACAACCTGTTGCTTCAGGAGAGGTGACAATCCCTGTGCAACGCTGAGCAATAGAAAGGGAGACAAGGAATGTTCCTTATGGAGAAAATGCAGATTTTTCAGCATCAGTATAAAGACAGAGGATAATAAAGCACACGGCGTGCAGTTCCCACGTATACTGGTACATGATGTACAGAACACGTTCTAAGGTAGCTGGATTATGAGATTTGCATGGCTGTACGTGAAGATTATTTGACTTTTAGCAATAAACTGTAACTCAGCAATCCACGTGCCTGAATTCAGGACAATGCTGGCAGCTTATTAGAGCTTATTATTAAAGGTTGGTGCTTTAACAAGCTCCTGTATTTTGCTATGAAAAGATAATCCAAACAAATGCCCTGCAAACTGCATTTGGCCCAATTCCCCACTGCAGGGACTTGTCTACTGCATACAGAACATTGGCAAAATATCTGACTACCTCAGGGAGAACACACTGCGATCTTAAACTCCTCTTGCCTTAGATTTCAGTATTTTCACATCATGAAGGTGGCTTTTAGTCAACTAAACTTCATAGAATCACATAATGGTTTGGGTTGGGGAGGGACCTTTAAGATCATCTAGCTCCAACCCCTGCTGTAGGCAGGGACACCTCCCTCTGCACCAGGCTATTTGCTTCAGTCAAACAGAAAGCATGTCCTGTCACAGCTGAGAGGCACAAATCTCAGAAGATGCCCTTTGTTTCAAAGCACACCTATTGTGCCCAGAACAACCCACAGCAGACACGTGGACTGATCATATGTGCTTTAAATGATTAAACGTGGGGTAATATGCAAAGTCATTTGAACCCTAAGGAAATGCATTTAATAAATAATATGAAGTTTTAGATCAGGAAAAAAAAAAAAA